TTGTGACAGATCTACAGGTAGGGATCGCCCAATCGTTCCGAAATATTATCGACGCAATGTCTTCAATACATTGCACGAACATTCTCGTCCAGGCGTCCGTGCAACCATCAAGCTTATAGCAGAACGGTTTTGCTGGCCTGGCATGAATAAAGACGTGAGGGAGTGGGCACGCTCCTGTGTAAGCTGCCAAAAATCTAAGGTTATCAGACACAATAAATGTCCCTTAGGCTCATTTAAAACTCCCGATGCTCGTTTCGACTATGTTCATCTGGATTTGGTAGGACCTTTACCAGATTCAAATGGATATTCTTACCTCTTAACCTGCGTAGACCGTTTCACCCGATGGCCAGAAGCAGTACCTATCAAGGACATCACTGCTGAAAGAGTGGCTAGCGCCTTCAACCGACAACCAACACTAGCGATGATACTCCGAATGTATTTGAAAGTAAACCTTAAACGACGCGTTCTGGAAGAAGAGTAAGATTTCCAGAACATTTAAGCGACTACTGCATGTAAGGCACTACTCGACATTTTATGTTATCTCGATTTTTCTTTTTACGATATATAATATTTTAAAAAAACAATTTTAATATGCCTATATTTTTATTTTTTTAAATTATTTTTTTAACGCTATTACGTGTGCTTGAATTTATTTTCCATTTGTTTCGCCGACATTGTGTTTTTATGCACATACGATTGTATTTCGACATGTACTTACACTTTCCAGAACGGCTGGAAAAGAACGATGCAGTTTACGAGGAGTCGAAATTTTCGTTGTAACTTTTTCTTTTTTTACTATGTTGTACCTCGGTCCCATATAGTGAGGAAAGACGACCAGACGCTGCTACACTTAGTAAGCTATCAGAAGAGTGTTTACCAACGACAAACTCGTTGGGTTTAAACTTCTGCCTGGCCACGTCTTAGGGTCGTCACTGCCCCACTAGGGGGGAGTGATTTGTAGCTGTAAATAAATCCCCAAAATAAATAGCTCTAAGTTTTCGACATTGGATGCTGACCATATGTTTTAGTGGACGCATCTAGCTGAAGGCACTCGGTCATGCATCCGCACCAGATCACGTGTGGTAACACCGTGCTCAACATCAACCGCAATCGCTATCCAGATTAGATCAGAGAGTTTCGATATATTGGTTATCGCCAAATATACTCTTCCGATCTCCTCGACTCTGTCTTTTGATTTCTCTGGGTGGGAACGAAATATATTAGGAGGTGTTACTGGTAAAAGCGTTGTCAAACACTGAGTACCTGTGACATCATCATTGGTGAGACCGATGTGGTCTGGTACACCTAATTGCAACTGTGAGTCTGTTCCTTTTTGGGATTTTTATATATCATTGCCTTATTTTTAATTTTTTTAAACATTGTGATTTTTTTCGTGTTTTTTCTTGGATATATATATATTTTCCCCTCGTTCATTATCGTACTTCATACTTCATCATGACTGAACAGACACCTAAAGTACTCAAGACACAATATAAACACGTTATGCCGGGAAGTATATGAATATATTGATGAATTTAGGCTGCGTGTCCACGTTGGTTGTGTCTTTGGGTATTCCGATTTCTAGGAAACGCATACCAAATGGAGTAAAATTTTGAGGAAAAAATGTTCCTAGAAAGAGATGGTGCATAAGGATGACTTAGTGGGGATGCCTTACAGCTGTAGATACATCTTAAGGGGTTCTTGAAATAATGATAACTACTTGGCCACCTACTAAATATGTGCACAATATTACACCATAATCAGAATACACCAGTGAAAGAATGATCTACAGGATGCTCTCATTCAGATATTATCGAAAAGTTTCGCCAGAGACTATTACACTAAAGTGGATTGTCGGTTTTTGATCCGGAATAATGAAACATCAATGAATCAAGTGTCCTAAATGAAGGAAAACATGTCGGATATTTCAAGATATTTTTAGTTACTTCTATGTCAAACAACAACTAAAAAGCCACTCAATTGAATATGAATTGAGTAACTGTAATTTGCCACATAAAAGGTAATACAGTGGATTTTTCTTGAATTCAAGAAAATAATCAAAATAGATCGTTCGATCAAACTTTTGACCTTGCTAGTTACACAGACCACAGAGAGTGGTAGATTAGTTTACTGAAAACTATCTACTCAATAACTTTATAGTATCCTAATTTTAACATATCAGATCGTGTAACATCAAACATCTGGGTACCTCGAACGGATTGAATTTCTGGTTGAAGTACGACCACTCCATGTCTGTATATTCAACGAATTACGTAAAATCTGCCTCCTATCTGTTGTTAAAAACTCCAATCTATTAGTTATCGCTAGGCGTTTTGCCTACATAAGATCATATATCGGATAAGTGAATTACAGATTTCAGATTTAGATTTGTTTAGTAAGGACAGAAGGCCTATCTTATTCCTCTTCTATTATGCTTCTATGGGTGTCTAGTCTTCTCTTGAATCAATCAGTTGAGGGCGCGGACACCATTTCCTTCGGGTAACAGGTTCCAAGTATTGATGACTCAGTGTGAAAATCTGTATGTCACGGGTATTTTTGTTCAACCTTGGCTTTTCTATGTACTCTGAGATGTCCCGATCTAGTGGGAAGAAAAAGAGAGGATATGTTAGGTCCAAAGTCATTTCTTAGTATTCTGTACATCAAAACTAAATCCCCTCTTAGTCTGCAATAGGACAGAGTAAGGAGATCTACATTTTCAAGCCGCTCTTTTTATGGTAAATCCCGGGGTTCTGGAATTGCACATGTAGCTGCCCTCTGTACTTTTCCCAGGATATCCGAGTCACCTATTAAACAGGGGATTGCAGCCTGAACACAGTTCTCAGGTTTAGTTCTCACTAAGGTTGTGTATACTGTAGTGAACACGGTAGTATCTAAATTGGTGAGTATCCTTCTTAAAACCTTATAAACCCCTTAGCTGCGACCTCCTGGCAATGGGCCGTGGTCCTAAGATCATGACTCACTGTCACCCCAAAATCCTTGTGAGTCCGTACTACTGGTACTTGTTGGATTATGATCTACTATTATATTATTACTGCTCTAATAATCGACCTAATCCTAACATTGTAGATCTGTCATAATGTAATGCTGGCACTTCCCTCATGTTGTACTTGCTTACCTTTGTATACCCAAGGTGCATTTAGACACTCTTTGCAACGTTGTTAGGAATCAGCCACTCTTTAGACCAGTTAATCACATTATTTTAGTCTACCTGAAGTGTGCATGCATCTGCGTCTCCGGTTATTACTCGCCAGATTTCTACGTCAGCCTATCACAACATTGGGGACTTTACTATGCTTGACAGGTCACTTACATACAGCATAAAAAGTGAGGGACCTAGGGCATAACTTCGCGGTATTCCACTATATGTATTTGTTTCCAAGTGAAGCGCTAGGGAATTACTCTTAACTTCTGTATACGACCCACCAGGAAATCCTTAAGGAATTTTAGTAGAGGTACTCAATATCAAGATTTTCTAGCTTCAATAGCAGTTTATTTGTTGGCACCTTGTCAAATGCTTTGCTGAAGTCTGTGTAGATATCATCCACTCATTTTTTGTTGTCTGGAGCCTGTGGAAGTTTTTTAATTCCTTTTTTATGTATGGTAGTGAGGATTGCATCCTTCCAGTTCATAAGTAACAAACTTTAGTCAAGTGACATAATGAATATCGCAGTTGGTGTAGCGGCAATATGTTACGTTATTTGTCTCAGGATTTCAGGGCATAGTTAATCCGTTCCTGCTAACCTTTCCGTGTCTAAGGTGCTAAAAGCCTTAAGTACATCGTCGCAACCACAGTCCACTATGAGCAAACGATTTGGTAAACTTGTGTTTGGGTGTAGTTCTTCGTCTAGAAGGAGCTCCTGAGTGGAAAATGTCCCGAAATAGTTTTTCATAGCCTCTGCCTTTTCATGATCATCCTCTATCATTTCAGATCCACTCCCTTCTTTAATTAGGTTGTAAATCCAATGCTGCATTTTCGTCCTGTAGTTTGTGAACAAGACTAGTCTCTTAGGCTGCTTGATTGCAGATTGTGCCGACTGCATTTCATATTTTCTCTGAGCTCCTCGGATTTTAATATCACACTTACATCCTACCGACCTATAGCGTTCCATATTGCTTGCTGTGCCATGGCTGATGGCAACTTTCCAACATTTATTCTTATGTCTAAGCAAACGTCGAATATCCCGGACTATCCAGGGATGGCTATACATCTTCGAGACTGTTCAGGGTATATATGGTTGAGTCACCCGATTGTATAACTGCCTGAAATGAGTCCATGCCTCTTCTACTGATGCCTCTGAGTCAATTTCCTAGTTTTCAGCAGATGCTGTAGAGTTTATCACCTCCACGTCTGCTTTTCATATGTTAGGACGGGACGGTGCAACTGTTTGACAGGCCATCTCAGCCATGAACTTGGATAAGATAAATGCATGATCTCATCTCTTTAGAAATGGTAGAAAAGTTATTTGGTCAACATCATCACCGTGTATGAAGACTAAGTCCAAGAGAGGCGAGGAGCTTCGTGATTCCTATTCGGTGGGATCTCCAATGTACTGGTATAAAGTTAGTGTAATTGAGGTTTCTAACAGTTTGCAATCAAATGACGATATCGATGACCCTATTTCTAAATTGACCCAGTTTACAACAACAAAAATAATATCATAAAGCTCAGCCATTCTTCAGAGATTTCTCAAATAGTGGTTGTTGTTTACTTTAGTTAAGTGCATACTAAGGCGATGACATAAAGTAGTATTCCACAAACATTTTCATGACAGCTCTGATTGTTTTGCTTTTCGGTTTCATAGGTGGTACGGCTACAACCGTATCTTTCTATTACAACCAAGGCTCCTTCACAAGACAGACGCAAGTTCGTATAAATAATTCACTAAATCTGCAGGACAAAGTTTGAGGTTTGAAGTTATTTCGCGCCTAAGTTGATCATCTTCCCAACCGCGGTTATACAACTTTGGACATTGCCAGCAATGCTTGCTGTACATTCAGAACAAGGTGGTACAGTCGAACAAAAAGGTAGGAGTACTAAAGGGAGCAAAATATACAAAAAGATCGAGCTCGGACAACTTACTCCTCATAATATCAAGCAATTCAGATTGATAAATCAAACTGTATTCCCAGTCACATACACAGAGAAATTTTATAGTGATGTTCTAAAGAATAGTAAGATGTGCAGACTTGCTTACTTTAATGATATCGTCGTTGGAGCTGTTAGTTATCGGGTAGAGAATGTTGTTGTGAAGAATGTCGATTTGGCTACGGATGATAATAACGGCCAAGCTAATCAAACTGTCAAGAAGTGTTATATTATGACTTTGGGATGTCTTGCACCATACAGAGGCTACGGTGTTGGTACGCTTATGTTAAAACATGTCATTAAGAGCTGTTTAAAGCACGGTGGTATTAAAAGTATTTATCTGCATGTTCATGTTGGTAATGAAGGCGCAGTAGCGTTCTACAAACGTTTCGGTTTTGAAATAACTGGAGAAGTTAGTGATTACTACCGCCGTATTCATCCTCAAACTGCCTACGTGCTCGAAAGGTCCCTATCAGCTACAGAAGCTAGGGAATCCGACTCAGAATCCGATTAAACACTCACTCCAATGTAAATACATCATTTATTTACACTGTTAATAAATACACCAACAGTATCTTGTCCACTCTCTTTTTTGTTCAACTCCATATACTGCCAAAGTGCAGGTTTCATGAAGGTAATCGCTTAGTTCGTATCTTTTGGTTTAGTAGAGTAGTTCATTCACCTCAGTCCACTGGTCACTGATATCACCTACTTCAAAACTTTTGTTACATATAATCTAGTATTTATCGTAACTAGGTACATGTTGGTAGTCCGTAACTAACGTGACAAGCTTTATTATATTATATTGGTTAATATTATGGTGGTACGGTTTGGATAACTGTAATATCATCCGAGAGAGGTCATTTTAGTGATCTGGTTATACTACCAGTTCCTCGTTTGTACTTATGAATAAGTCTTTTCAGTAAAACTGATATGTCTATGTGTAATGCTTATCTTTATTCACCGTTTCCTGTTTTTATCCTTTCGGTCAGTTTTATCAAGTTATGTCTAAGGTCTCCTTATTTTGTTTTTCAAACTCACATTCGCCAAGCAAGTGCGTTCACATTGTGTAGATGACATAATAAAACGCCCCCCCCCCATTATCATTACATATGCATACTAATTCACACCAATGACAGGCATATGGTACCATTATTACTGCACCAAGCTAGGTTTTCAGTTTGTGGAGTCCCATCAATATTTGAGTGTAATAAGATTGTCATGTTTAAGTAGCCATATACATAAAGGTGCAAATCAGTGACCAACCATATGTTCGTATGAGGAGCTTCAAACAAAGACAAGATAAACTTTAAGTGACCAAATATCGTGTGATAAGAACTATGGTTTGTTGTTTAGAATTCGATAATTCAGATTGATAAGCCGTAAATTTGGGTTTATTACCATTAAGAGTTTTTAGTTTTGTTCTGAAAGATTGGGAGCATCAAAATTCACAGTTAATAAAGCTGACCAAACGTAACTTATGAAGCGTGCATTGCTGGTCAGTCTATGTTTTTATTCTAGTAATTATACATTTTCAGCCTCACTTTTTTCTCATGGATTGTCGTTTCGCTTTGTAATATATTTGATTGTCTCTCTTACGACTGTTTGTTTGGCGGACTTAATATTAGTAAAAACTTCTCATAATCCTACTTTGTGTTTACGTTTCAACGTGATCGAACCAATACATATGTAGTGTTCATCTGACCTTAAAGAAAATTTTCGCTTAGATTACCCTTGAAAAGAGTTGAGATAACTGAGCGGAAATTCACCAATAACTTATTGATTCCTTCAATCATTTTGAGACGCTTAAAGTATTGATGGCTACCAATGTGAATGGAAAATTCATGTGACGATAACAAGATCAATCTAAGTTATCATATATCATTCAAACACAGTTGAAGGAAAGCAAAATAAGAGGCATCAAATTAATAATAGTGTTAGTAGCGGGAAACTGGGTGAAACAAGTGAAAGCCTAATAGGAAGTATGAATAATCCGATAGTTAGTACTTACTTGAAGTTAGAGAATGAACTGGACATCATTTATGTCATACATATAAAAGACAAATGCAGTCTTATCGCCCCGACAATTTTTTAGTCATGTGAAGCCTTCAACTATCAATAATTGCTCTCGTACTAAACACATGGCATATATAAGTGGTTCCTTAAACGGGTAATGTCTCGTGGTTTGAGCAACTTTGGCGTTGATAAACTTACTATGCTACCCATCGCTATTCTCTAAAGTTACAACCCTATCAGATGATTTTCCAATTTTACATAGCACTCTATTTACGAAATAACCCTATTAACCTGGCTATCATTATTAAAAGCGTCTAGTGATTCGAAAGCACATGATCAAATACACTATTTATCTTCATTCAGTGGCCATAACCAATAACTTTAGTGCATCCTGAAAACAACTAATACCCAGTATACAAATACAGGTGGTGTAAGTTGGTAACAACTAAACATGACATTTTAGGTCGTGCAGCTCGCTTGTAATATAGACACTAGCATTTGTGATTTAAGAATTCTAAGGTTCAAAATCATAAGCAATTAATCACTGAATTACTGCATGTAGCTGACTGGTAATTAGCTTTTAACTATGAAAATATTTCTCTAATGACTCGTCTCAGAACACTTCCTATATTGGCACAAAAACTAATTTGTGTGAAATATAAAACAAATGAATGGTTACGAAATTTAGATATGTTTTATATCCGTTAAACTGGAAACTAGAAATTAAGCATGCGAGTCTATAACATTATATTATTATAAACTTAGAAATTTATGAGCCAAAGAGCTGCTCATTTGTGTTTAAGAGATCTTATCTGTAAATTTATGAGCGTTCTAAATTGCACCACAATTTCAAATATTACTCAGTTTTTATCGAAAATGTTTGACTAAATCATTACTATATATATTGATGTTGTGGCTTAACAGTCCAACGCCTAGCGTTCGACTGTTGTGTTGCGATTCTATATTCTTGTTTGCTTTGGTAGTCGTCCGCACACAATAGCTGTAAACATACTATATGAATTGTTTACGAAGTTTCATTCACACATATTTCTAGGCCATGTATTTACGCATAAGAAGTGTCAATAACTTCCTTTACAATTGTAGTCTCTAATGACCTCATCACTTTAAATTAGGTACCCTGACCAGAATTCTGATTCCACATTTGAAGAGCGACAGACAAAATTACGATATTTTTTAAATTAAACTTCCGAAGCCAGGCTTCGTTGAGCCACTCATCAGTCATTTGAGATAAGGTAAATTCATTAAAGTTGCTGTAAAAATGAACCAGATGATCTGTTCTTTCAGTAGCTCCACGCAGAATCTTTAGGAACTGGTTTTTTGGGCCATTATCTTACTGATACCAGGCTTTTGGCTACTGGTGTCTCAAATGTTCTTGAACAACTCCCAGCTATTACCAAATTTATCTGTGCCGGTAACTGGTTATAGAAACCATATTTTCAGGTCCTTGCGTATACCTAAATTTAAAAACATTTTTTACACTAAATCTTCCACAATAGACCACTAAATGTAAAGAATTCGTTAGGAAATCATCAAAACCCAACACTGCTTTTTAAGTTGTGAACGAGAATTTCGCAAGTGTCAGCATGTTTTGCAGTTTATCAGAAACAGCATAGTTAATTTTAGGTTGGTTACTTTCTAAAACCAAGTTCATGATCTCTTAGTGTTAGTCAAGCATAAGGATTTCAAGTCATTTCCATCTGAAATAGCAAGTCGGATTCAGACTTTTCATGTCCACGATGAACTAGGCTCTGGAAAATTGAAATATAGTTTATGAAGCACCCCTATATATTCCAAGCAAGCTGGCACTTATCAGAGCTGTCTGACCAGACTGTTACAATTAGTCAGCTCAAAACTACATCTTTCATACCCATTAGTGTAGATAAATGATCTGACAATGAGAACCTGAAGGTCACAGCAGAAATTAGGATAACACAAAACAGTCGATTTAGGCAAATAATGATAACGATGTTCTGGATTCGAGGTTCCCGAGTTAGATACTATTCAATGTTATACTTGTGGGACGTCGTTAATTAGTACTGCGAAATTTCCTTAATATCTCTGATATCAATGCAGATATTTGTAAACATCGATCCGGGCAACTGCTTAGCTCGTGATAAAGGATAGTATGCAAAAGCCCACTAACTCGACAGCTTAAGTGTATAGTAACTTACAGAATTTTGTAATCTATCAGGAACAGGGAAATGCTTTGTACATCCAGGTCGATCATGTTTTTAACGTTCTTTTTTCCTAACGAAATATAAAGTTTAGTGCAAACCCTTTCTAGTTATTAAAAAAAGAACTTGTATTTTATAATTGAAACTTTCAGTTTTTTATGGCTTAATTGAAACTGTGATGTGATGATTAACTGGAAATTTCTTTAAGGGAAACAAAATGAGTGATCGTTAGTCTGAGGTGTGTTGGGGATGCATTTTTCATTGTTCCAATCCATTCCTTTTGTATTATATACATTTTCCTACTGTTCATTATACCATTATTACATCTTCATTTTATTCACTTACGCTTCCCGTGTTAATGCAACAAATAATTGTGGTAGGTTAGGATTTGTTTGTCTGAGTTGTTAATAAACAGTTTCATAACAGAATGTCCACTAAACTAACCCAATTTAATATCAAGATGAATTAACAATTATATAGTAGCTTACTACCTATTACCAACATAATCCATCTAATATGTGTACCAAATAACGTAAAAAGTTTATCTTTGTAATTACACTTAAGGAAAATGGTAGTTGAGAATGTCAACGATTTTCGATAAAATCCTATTCCGTAGTGTTACTTCTTATGTAATCCAAAAACATACAACAATAATCATACCGGACAGTCAAGATACCAACGATTAAGTATATAAGAACCTACGTTTGAAGGATATATGGGATTCGAAAACACTCAATCAAACTCAAAATCCCCAATACGAACGTCAAGACAGTTCTACTATACGGAGCTGAAACTTCCAGAACTATCACAAACATCATCAAAAAGTACATGTATTTATAACAACTTTCTACTCAAGATATTCAATGTCCGTTGGTCGGATATCATCAGCAACAGCCTACTGTGGGAGAGAATAACCAGTTTCCAGTTAAAGCGTAAACTAGGAAATGACGCTGGAGGTGGGTAGAACATACATCTAGGAAATAATCAAACTGCATCACGAGGTAAGCGCTAACTTGAAATCTTGAAGGGAAACGGAAAAGTGAAAGACCAAAGAACAAACTGTGTTACGGATTGAAGCAGACATAAAAAGAACGTATAGCAACTAGAAACAACTTCTAAGGGCAGAGTATGCTGGTAGGCGGCCTATGCCCCTCTACAAGGGGTAACATGTATAAGTAACACAGTACATAATGAAGTGTACTCAAGAAATTTAAACAACTAAAAGTCTCGATTCCACAGTTTATCTGACTAACTAATCATAATTAATGAATTAATTGGACATAATTATGCTTTTTCGTCTAAT